TCTCTCTCTCTCTCTCTCTCTCTCTCTCTCTCTCTCTCTCTCTCTCTCTCTCACCTTAACAAGTAACTTAGTACTATGAATTTTTTCCTTGGTGTAATTTGGCTTGCCACTGAACTCTGGTGTTGAGCTTTACTCAAAGTATTTGAAAGTTTAATTAAGGAGGGAAAAACCACAGCTGTACTTAGATATTAGTGATTTCTGAGAATTTAATGAATATCTCTTTGCTTTTAGTTCCAAGGTTATCTCCAAAAACTCACAGACCCAGGTCTCCCAGGCAAAACAGTATTGGAAACACTCCCAGTGGGCCTGTGCTTGCTTCTCCCCAAGCTGGTATCATCCCTACTGAAGCAGTTTCCATGCCTGTTCCCGCTGCATCTCCTACTCCTGCCAGCCCTGCATCCAACAGAGCTCTGACCCCGTCTATTGAGGGTATGAAACAAAGGTCTTTTCTATTCTAACACGGTATGATCAAGAGCTTCTGAACATACAGTGGTGTTTTTTGGAAACAAGATAGCTATCTATGACACTACTGTTCCATGTATATCATTTAATGTCTGATATCAGAGGTTCTGACTTGCTTTGGTATGACATGCCTATTATATGAACATGCTTACCGACTTTTGGTATGATGATTAACAAGGAAAACCCTTTGTTTAAATGAAACTATTTTTTCCTCAGACCAGAAAATTTGGAAGTATTTGGTGTTTTCTCATGATATTTTCCTAACGTCTGTCTGATGATGTTTTCTTTTTTAACTTGTTTTCTAGCTAAAGAGTCCAGGCTTCAAGATCAGAGGCAGAACTCTCCTGCAGGGAATAAGGAAACTATTAAAGCAAATGAAACATCACCTAGCTTTTCAAAAGTTGAAAACAAAGGTTAGAGTTTGTTAAATTTTTTTAGGTGTAATTACAGAGATAGAACACTGTTTATCTTACTAATTTCATACTCTATACTGAGTGCCCTCCTTCTAAAATTTGTTTATATGTAATGCACGTGCTAATAGATACCAAGCAGAATGGGTATTTGAAATATCCGTTAGTCTTCAGGTGATAGAACTGTTCTCATTTCTTATTTATCTCCCTTACCCCACATGGGATTAAAGGCATTAAAGTAGTGTGCCGCCGTATCTAGCCTCTTATACTCATTTCTAATATCCCATACTGGCAGATTTTTAAGTTTAAGGTCAGAAGTAAATTGGAATCTAACAGGTTTTGGTTTTACAGGTATGTCACCAGTTGTTTCTGAACATAGAAAACAGATTGATGATTTAAAGAAGTTTAAGAATGATTTTAGGGTAAGTTCCCTATCAGCTGATTGGTTAGAATTAAAAAAAGAAAATAGTAATTTTTATATGACCAGTTCACAAAATACAGTTTTAACACACACACACTCAGCATTAAGTCACATGTGCAGAAAATTAGACTTTTTTGTAAAGATTTTTATACATATGAATGTTTGCATTATGTATGTGGGCCATGAGCATTTTTAGTGTCCTTGGAGACCACAATAAGCAACAGATTGCCTGGAAATAGAGTTGCAGGTGACCATAAGCCATCATATAGGTGCTGGGAACTGAATGTAACTGCTAATGTAGTTTTCCAGCCTACTGGATTTTTTTTTCTTTTTTGGTTTTTCAAGACAGGAATTCTCTGTGGCTTTGGAGCCTGTCCTGGAACTAGCTCTTGTAGACCATGCTGGCCTCAAACTCACAGAGATCTGCCTGCCTCTGCCTCCTGAGTGCTGGGATTAAAAGAGTGTGCCACCACCGCCCAGCTCCACCGGATTTACTTTAAGAGCAAGTGTCTTTCTGTCTGTCTGTCTGTCTGTCTGTCTGTATGTATGTATGTAGGTGGGGTAAGTTCAGGAGTCCTATGAGGCCAGAAGAGGTTGTCTTCACTTGGAATTTGGATTAAGGTGATGGTGAGATGCCTGATGTGGGTGTTAGAAGTTGAACTTGGATCCTGTGAAAGAGCAGGAAGCATTGTTAACCACTGAGCCATCTCACTAGTCCTTTGACAGTTATTCTTAGAGATGCCTTTGTTCTAAGTGTAATAACTTGAATCACACATTTTTTTGTTTTTCTGTTTTGTTTTCTTTTGTTTTTAAGACTACAGGTAACAAATGAAAGAATATTATTTTTCATTTCTAACCAACACACTAAAGCTCACTGCTTTGGTGCCTGTCTGAGTGGCTGCCTCAGTAGGTTTGTAGTTGAGAGTAAGGGCATGTCAGTACTTCCAGTGTGCATGGAAGGTTTAATGTTCCTGGTGTCCTGAGCTAGTTCAGATCTACTTTGTGAACAAGTATAGTAATTGTGTAAAATCCATTCACTTGTTCATTCATATTGCTGGTGCTGAGAATTGAACCCAGGGCTGTAACCATTGTGCTACACACCCAGTCCCAATGGCGAATCTTCCTGTAATGTAATTCCTTCTTACCCGAAGTCAAGCTTTTTTGGTGTATCCAGAGTCTTTTGTGACCTTTTCATTCTTCCACACAAAACTTACAGAAACCAAGTTACATTAAAAATGTAACCTTTAGCCTTTGACAGTTTTATACAGTTGGTGTTTATTATTTTTAATTGTATAATTGTATCTGTCTGTGTGCTGGAACTCACGAATGCAGGTGCCCCTAAAGTTCAAGAGTGTGATAATCTTCTAGAGCTGGTTGAGAGCTGCCTGGTATGGGTTCTGAGAGCCATACAGCTCTGGTTGTCCTGAATCTCACTTTCAGACCAGGATGGCCTCAAGTTCAGAGATGCTCTTAACCACTGAGCCAGCCCTCCAGCCCCACTATATTTCAGTCTTGGAGATTGGACTAGTTTACGTTCCCACCAGCGTAGTAAAAGGGGTCTCCTTTTCCCACAACCTCACCAGCATTTGCTGTTTGTTTCTGCCATTCTGGCTGAGTTAAGATAGAGTGTGTGTATTTAAATTTTATGTTTTTTTGTTGTGTTTTGTTTTTAGCTGGACCTAGTGGCACATGTCTTAATCTCAGTACTCTGAGACAGATCTCTGAATTTGAGGCTATTCTGGCCTAAAAGTGAGATTCAGAACAACCAGAACTGCATATTGAGACTCTAGACAAACAAAAATCTTTTTCTTTAACTGGGAAGGTCAGAGGCTTTAGGTCCCTCAGTACTGAAGTCACAGGTGTTGTGTGCAGTATGCAACTAAACTGGGTCCTCTTCAGGACGACTTCACACTCTTAACAACTCATCTATCTCTCTTAATTTCCTCAGTGGGGTTTTAATTCAGATTTCTTTCATAGCTACTGATCTTGAACATTTGTATTAAATCTTTTGAGAATAGCAAGTTTTATTAGTCTAATGATTTGGTTGTTTGAGACATACACAATGCATGTTGGCATGTACAGCACTGCTTTGTTTTGTTATGAATAATGCTCAGTGGCTATGGGTTTTTCTTACTTTCTTACAAGGATGAGAAATGTACCATGTACATTGAACATATATTATTTTTCTAGGATTGAGAACTCTGTCCTGTGGCAGTGAGTAGAGCTGCCAGTCTTTACCATGGCAGTTGCATGATCACTATTGTACACTGCATTAGCAGCAGCCAGCAAATCCTTTTTATTTCTTATTTTGGGTTTGGTTTTGAGACAGGAACCAGCTCCCCCAAATACTCAGTCTCCTGCCTCAGCCTTCCAAGTGCCAGTATCGCAGGTGTGTGTTACCTGGCCATGTGCGGGGCAGCCGTTTCTCCTCTTTAATGTGCTGGAGTTCATGTATTTGATTGTGGTCCATGTCATCTATGGATATGGAGTGGTGTCTCACTGTGGTTTTGATATGCAGAGCTTTTTTGGCTAATGATGTTGACTGTCCTCCTTTTTGTTTATGTTTTTTTCTTGTTTACATTGCTGTTTGTTCATATGCTTGACCGAACTTTAAAATTTTAGAGTAGGCTTAGGGAATTAAGGAACCTTCCACCAAGTCTGGTGATCACAGTTCAATTTCTAGGATCCACATGATGGGAGGAGGGAACTGACTTCTAGAAGTTGTCCTCTGACAACTCCCCCTACATTAAATAAGTAAATTAATCTTTTTGTTTGTTTTTAAAGACATGGTTTTCTCAGAATAACTCTGACTGTCCTGGATCTCGCTCTATACACCAGGCTGACCTCAAATTCAGAGATTTGCCTGCCTCTGCCTACCAAGTTCTGCAATTATAGGCATGAGCCACCATACTCAGCTCATATGTGTGGAAGGTTGGGACATGTTCTCTCTACATAGCCCTGCTGTCCTGGAGTTTTCTGTGTAAGCCTAGAATTCCTAAACCTGCCTCTGCTTCCTGAGTGCTATGTCACTGAGGGGCAGTGGTGGCACACACCTTTAATACCAGCCCTAGGGAGTCAGAGGCAGGCAGATCTCTGTGAGTTCAAGGCCAGCCTGGTCTACAAGAGCTAGTTTCAGGACAGGCTCCAAAGCTACAGAGAAATTCTGTCTCAAAAAAGAAAAACCAAGCAAACAAACAAAAGGTTTATGTCACTATGCTCAGCCCAGCTCATAATTAACTCTTGAGTTTCGGGTTCTGGTTGCTAAATTTGTGTTATTTATCATTGTTATTAATGCTTTTAAAAAGCCGTATTCTGAACCAGGGTTGGTGGCTTTTACTTCCAACACTCAGGAGGCAGAGAAAGGCAGATCTCATTGAGTATGAAGCAAGCCTGATGTACAGAGTGAGTTCTAGAACAACTAGGGCTATGTAGAGAGACCTGGTCTCAAAAACCAAAAGGCCATCTTCTGAAAATAAGAACAAAAAGCCTTATTCAAAGCATTTCATTCTCTTCAGATACTGCTTTTCTTATACTCACAGGAAATTATTTCTTTTATTTAGTTACAGCCAAGTTCTACATCTGAATCTATGGATCAACTTCTAAGCAAAAATAGAGAAGGAGAAAAGTCACGAGATTTGATCAAAGACAAAATTGAAGCAAGTGCAAAGGATGCTTTCATTGACAACAGCAGCAGCAACTGTACCAGTGGCAGCAGCAAGACCAACAGCCCTAGCATCTCCCCTTCTGTACTTAGTAACACAGAGCATAAGAGGGGGCCCGAGGTTACATCCCAAGGGGTGCAGACTTCTAGTCCAGCCTGCAAACAAGAGAAGGATGACAGAGAAGAGAAAAAAGACGCAACTGAGTGAGTAACCTGGAATTTAGCACATCCTCTATCCAAGTAAATCTTGACTAAAGGAATTTCTCCACTTACAGTTGTCTGCACGCTGACAGAGAACTTTCAAAGTAGCTGTTACTAAGAGCTGGTTTAGCAAATTCTCACTGAATCTCATCATTGAATTCTTAGCATTCTTTGCATTCTAATATGCATCCAACTGTGTGGGGTGAGAAAAGCTACTTCTGTAGAGACATAGAAATTCAAAGTTAAAGTTGGAAAGCGCTATCTTGGGACTCCAGTTGTACCTAACTCTGCTGTCTGCAAGAACTGCTTGCTACCCTAGGTGAGAAAGGGAGTACGGCACTGGTATCCATGCTTGCAAGGCATTTTCTGTCAGAAACAAATGTTTATTTAGTGTAAATTTCTTTATAAAACTTAATTATGCTTCTGGCATATTAAAGCAATTTAATAGACCTAGTGGGCTTTTTTGTGTTCTGGATAGCAAACAGCCTAATTGTATTTGAACTTTTAGAATGGCAGGTTGCTGATTAACTGTTCATTTTTGATATGAAGTTAAAATAAATTATTAGAGCAATGGCTTTTCCCAAGGTGTGTAATTAAAAAATATTGGGCAGTGATGGCACACACCTTTAGTCCCATCAACAGGGGTTGGGGTCAGGGAGCAGGGTATAGGTGTCAGATTTCTGTGAGGTCAAGGCCACTGTGGTCTACAGAGCTAGTTCTAGAATACCTGGAACTGTTACACAGAGAAACCCTGTCTTCTTCTTTTTTAAAGATTTATTATGTATAGTGTTCTGTCTGAAGAGGGCGCCAGATCTCCTTACAGATGGTTGTGAACCACCATGTGGTTGCTGGGAATTGAACTCAGGACCTCTGGAAGAGCAACCAGTGCTCTTAGCTGTGGAGCCACCTCTCCAGCCCCTGTAAATGACACTTTCACTTTTCAAAGTTGTTGAGGGCACCAGATCTCACTATAGATGGTTGTGAGCCACCATGTGATTGCTGGGAATTGAACTCAGGACCTCTGGAAGAGCAGCCAGTGCTCTTAACCTCTAAACCATCTCTCTAGCCCCCGAGAAACCCTGTCTTGAAAAACCAAAAAGAAATTCTTTGCTGGGCAGTGGTGGTGCATACCTTTAATCCCAGCACTCAGAAGGCAGAGACAGAGATCTCTGAGTTTGAGGCTAGCCTGATCTATAGAAGAAATTCCAGAACAGGCTCCAAGGCTACAGAGAAACCTGTCTTACAAAAAACAAACAAAAATCTCGACACAGTTAAAAGTTATTGATGTGTGGCACATGGTGGCCACAAGTGGCCCAAGTTTGAGGCCAACCTGGGCTGCATTGAAAGCCCTATCTTTAAAAACAGGAGTTAGAAATGCTGTGGATTCATGTATTAAACATTGGGTTTTTATTTTCTGTGTGTTAGTGTTTTGCTTGTATGTCCATCTGAAACACTACATGCACACGGTACCTTCAGAGACCAGAAGATGGTGTCTGATGTTCTGGAATTGTAGTTACAGACGGGTGGATTGAACCCCAGTCCTGTGGAAGAGTAGCCCCGTTAGATGCCTTTTTAAAGAGTGTTTTCTATGGGGTTACTGTCTTTGCAGTTGAAATATTCCTGATTGCCTTTGAGGATGTGGTTTCGTTGATTGTTTGTTCTTGTTCCACTAGTGTCTGTCAGACTGAAGAGCAAGTGAGTGTCAGTGAGGGAGACCCACAACGCTGCACAGAGAGTCTTATCCTGGGAAACCTGACCAGTGTGGTAGAGTTGAAGAAAACATGGATTCCATGCAGGTTTCACTGGCTATTTTTCTCTTTCCTCATTTAGGCAAGTTAGGAAATCAACATTGAATCCCAATGCAAAAGAATTCAACCCGCGTTCTTTTTCTCAGGTAAGTTTATGACCATTTATGAAGAGATTTTCTGAAGGGATATTGTGAAGATCATTTCTGAAGAGATTTCATTGTGATCAAACATGGTTTTTCTCCTGTGCTCCCATTTAACTAAACCCAGCTGTGGGATACCAAAGACAAATTGTTTTCCTTGTGGATTGTCACTGTATTGTGCAGCCATTAGAATGGTGAATGTAAAGACCAGCTGAGAATGTAAGGTTAATGATGAGTGAGGCTGCCAGACTCAAAGATGCCTGTTGTTCCACTCATTTCCTTAGGGAGGTGTGGTAAAGCATACCTGCCAATCCCAGCTGTCAGGAGACTGGAGCTGAAGGATCATGAGTGTGGCTAGTGTGGGCCATGCAGTGAGGTCCTGTCCAAAAACACAAAAATGAAAAGAAGACTAAAAAATAGATAGACCTTTTCTGGTTCCTTATAAAATTACATCTCTCTCTCTCTTTCTCTCTCTCTCTCTCTCTCTCTCTCTCTCTCTCTCTCTCTCTCTCTCT